TGATTTAATGATTGTTAGGACATTGATGTTTTTCATTTCTTTTTTATATCTGTTGAGTGAATAGTTATCTTTCATCCTCCTATTCTTCTCTAACCTCTCAATTATTACTCAACCTTCTTATGATATATGAAATCTCGGACCACTTAATGATGTAATCTCTTTGTATGAATGTAAGTGATTTCATTGAAAAGTGAATACTCTTTATTTTTATTCACTGACACAATGGATTACATTAATTAGATTTGTAAGACATGTAAGAACAGAATACATAATTTGATTCGTATTAATTAGTTTATATCTGTTACAACTTGTGAACCTTTGTGCCCTGTTAATATATATCACACGATATGATCACCTGTTTGAGTTACCGATTTATTGGTCCTTGAGATAGAAGTTTTTCGTCTAACACAGCCAATTCAGTTTAGAATACCAATATCAACGTCCGTTATATGAATCATGTATTTCAAATATACTTGGTTTATATACAAGTCGATCGTACCATAACATAGAAAATAACAGTTATACAAGATCACCATATCAGTAATGCAGAGGTTCGGCATCGTGTGTTCGGGCACAGAGATGATAATTCAATTGGTGTCACCATCTTGAAACACCGACTTCATTGGCTTGGACATGTTCTACGAATGTCGTCCCAGAGAATTCCACGTCGTGCATTATTTGCCGACTCTGGGACTGGTTGGGAGAAGCGGAGAGGTGGTCAGTGCATGACATGGTATCGTGGCATGAAAGAAAGCTGTAAAGGACTGGCTTGTGTTGGTCCTTTTTGACTCCCTGGTTGGGGTCTGAGAGATGATGCTACACAGTGGCTAGAGACGTTATCAGATATGGCTCAGAATAGAAGCCAGTGGCGATCCTGCTGTAACCTTCTTTTACTTTCTTCATAAAAAGTGGTTGTGTCTCCCTTACCTGAAAGATTTCTTCTGATTGTACCTTTCCGTTCCTTCATTTCTACCATATTACCTTACACCAATCTCTTCGTTATTGTTCCCTTTTTTTGCGCTCCTTAGCTTTTTTTTCTATTTCTCTTCGAATTCTCATTGTTTTGTGTGGCGCATATATATTGGCGCTCTCTTGTACCAATATTCATGTGTTCAAATAAATAAATAAATACAAGATCAAGCCCAAAAAGTGGCGGTGTTTGTGAGAAACTGTGACTAATGGATTGAGAATAGTAAATCATATAACAGTAACCAATAGGTCAAATAGAAGCTTATAATAGGAGGAATATGTATAGTTTCTTAACAGTTATACAACAAGAAGTTACCCATAATTTAATGTACGCTGGGATATAACAATATCATAAATACTTACTAACTTACTAATATTAACCCTTCTCGAGGAGCATAGGCCAACCACCGGCATTCGCCATCGGACTCTATCCTGGACAATCTTTTCCTTTTCTATTTGTACTTTTCATGTCTACTTCCGATTCTCGAAGTAGTGTGTTTTTTGGTCTTTTGTTTTTCCATTTCCTTTCAGGATTTCAAGTTAGCACTTGTTTCTATCATAAATGAATAACGAAATTATAAAATTCCATGAAATACTATGAAACTAAATTCACTTGGTATTGTTTTACTTGACTCTATGTATTGATATTTAGGACTACAATCGATCGGTCTCATATTGGCATATATACATACTGTGTGTATTGCCTCAATATTGTCTTAATTCACAAGCATTATAAGCAAAGATGCATAGTGGTTAGCAATGGAATCAAGGATGCATGTTTCATTTTATTTGGAACTCGTCACTACTGAGTCCAAAGTGGATAACGCGTTGGCATTGGGATCGAATAGTACTGAGTTCATGTCCCGAAGTGAACATCAACTCTAAGATGAAAGAACATCCAGCTGTGACAAGTTCCAAATAGGACGAAACGCGCATCAAACTAGGTCCCACTACTATCCACTATCCATCTTTGCTTACTATAAAACTACTTCTTTTCATAATTATATGTATAAAATAACATATACTGTTTTTAATTAATCATCATATTGATTAATTATGGATTGCATGTTTATTTGTTTTGTTTTGTTTATAATTCAGACAGACTACTTAAATTACTTATTAAATATTGTAATTTACTTTTTTTCTCTTAAAGACACAAAGTAAAAGCCGAAATTTATTTAAACATTATACATAAGATTTATTATTGTTTATGTTTCATGTCAGTTAAATGATCAAATCAAGTGGATCAGTTTAATTTGTATATTGTGTTCAATATAGATTGATGTTAGTTAAACTGTGATGCGTGCTATTTATATTGAAATAAGTAGTATATAACACGAGTCAGGAATGTAATGTCTGGCAGCAGAAGATTGGGAAGATCAAGAAAGGAAGAACGGGAATAGAAAGCAATTAGTATCAAAATGCAAGAACAATGAAGTCCAAGACAATTATTGAACACTTTGCAAATTAAGTATTCTAGTAGGGTTTTTCTATTTTTACCAAGTAACTCTAATGTTGTGCTAAATATTAGTCGGTTGTCCTCACCTGTGTTCTCCTTCACTAAAAAACTAAAATGAATTAGTGGAGGTTTGATATGTCAGGAGTAAATAAGGACACAGGCACGGGGATAATCAAATGTATTTGAATACTCAAAAAATCTGAGAACTATACAGTGAATATTTCATTAGTAAAATATTAATTAATCGTCTCAGACTTGATTATTCCTTCGTTTCCACACTAATCATTCACTTTTCTTTGATTTTCTTAACATTCTGCCACCACGCACTTCACTTTCTATTGATGATACGTACTATCTATATATATCGACATCAGTAGCATACATCACAATGTCAGGAGTAAAATAGTTCTCAACATGGCTATTGAATAATCTTTACGTGTTATCATTATATTGATTATTGTTGATAATGCAGAGTACCATGGAATACCAACCCATTGGTTCTGATGATTAGAAAGTTATTCAGAAGACCTGATGGTTTATGGGCTGCGTTCTTAGTGGGGTTGATGTTGACTGCTGCCAAACAGTGCAATACCATAAGCAAAGACGGATAGTGGCTAACAGTGGGATCCAGGACGCGTGTTTCATCTTATTTGGGACTCTTCAGCTGGATGTACCTGCATCTCCGAGTTGATGTTCACTCCACGACTTGAACTCAGTACTATTCGATTCCAATGCCAACGCGTTATCCACTCCGGACTCAGTAGTGACGAGTTCCAAATAAAATGGAACATGCATCCTTGATTCCATTGCTAACCACTATGCATCTTTGCTTATAATGCTTGTGAATTAAGACAATATTGAGGCAATACACACAGTATGTATATATGCCAATA